TGGCTCAAGTATTGAACTTGTTTTAGTATTTTGTATATTTTTAGGATCCTTATATAGTCTGTTAAAAAGTACCCCAGCATTTTTAAACGTAACAGAATTTGGAGTTACACCTGTGGTTCGATTAATACTTGCATTTATTCCTGAAACAATTTTTTGAATAACATCTATCCAACGCAAGGTGTTCTTTTCGCTAAAGTATCTGTACAATCGCTCTTTGATAGTACGGTTGGCCCTTTCTGCCATAGATGCATGCACATCTGGACTATAAACTACTCGCTTATCAATGTCCTTCTTTTTAAAATATTCTTTCATTCGTTTCGCTTCAAATTCTAATCCTCGATCCGTATATAATTTATGTGGAAGTATCCCTTTTGAAAGTTTAAAAATGTTTTCGAACGCATCAATCATATTCTCAGAACTCTTAGATTTCGCAGGCACAGCATAAAGTTTTCTACTTAGTACATCAATACAAACCAAAAGGTATTTGTACCCATCATTATATTTAGCTAACTGATCAAAGATTGCCAAATCCGCTTGCCAATCTGTGTGTAAACCGCTTGGTCTAGTGGCCATTCTAGGAAACTTTTTTCTTAGAGGCCTATGCATTGTGTACACTCTTTGCTTATGAAGAAAATCATAAACATATTGAAATTTTATTTTCGGGTATTTACGACGCGCTTCTTCATAGACCCGATTTATTCCTGCATAGGAGGCGGGAGAATTAAGTGAATAATATATTTTTTCTAAGAAGGTATCTAAAGCTTTTCCCATAATTGTGGAATAAATTTATTTTTTCGCCGTATTAATCCAGGCGAATTTATAGGCAAGACTTTAACTAAAATTCTTTTTCTTATTTTCCCGGTACCTGTTTGATTATCGGTTGAACTTTCCTCCGTACTACTTTCTCCACGCGTCTCTTTAATCATTTCTTTCACTAATGGGTCCTTAGAAAGACGATTAAAAAGGAAACTGAAACCTTTTGGGGGCGATGATGTCGCACCCTTTACATATTCGAGAACATCTGTGAAATTGCTATTTTTTACAAGTCTTCCAGGAACATTAGATTCAAAACTCCCGTTCTTACTTATTCTGAATTTTTCTGCGTTATCTTTTACATAATTATCCAATTCTGTGGAATAGCGTGTCGCAATAATACACTTGAATTTGGAAAAAGGAATTGCACTTTTTCTTTTTGCTCGCGGCAACTTAGGAGTCACTTCTGATTCAGACGGATATTCGGAGGTAGAATTCAGTTGAATTTTGCTGGGAACTAACTTTGGTTTTGGCGTATTAGCGATGTTTTCCTGCAAGTATGGTGCAACTTCTGGAGAAGGTTTGCCTTCATCGATAATAACTTTTTGTGGGCGATTTTCCAACTCATTTTTGAGCTGACGTCTCTTCTTATATAACCAATTATATTTCTTTGCTTTTAAATCTTCCGAAATTTTTGGGTTATCGAGGGTTTTCATAATATCTACATCTGTTTGTGTCTTCTCTTTTTGTAGAAAGTCACCACCTTTAATCATGCCTAAAAGCGTAAGATATTCGCTCTCAGGCACCATAATCATTTTCTTTGTATGTTTCATTCTTGAGAGAATTTATGAATAATGTGTTCAGCTAAAGCTCCCAAGACGGGTACAAGTATTGCTGCTAGAGCGGCACTACCTCCTTGTTGTATGCGATTTCTGGCACTATTTTCAGTACGCGTTCGAGCGATTGCTCTATAAAAGTCAGCAAACTGTGATAATTTCTTGCGCTGTCTCCTATTTAGAGTAAAATTATTCTTTAAAATATTAGCACAAATTTCAACAATAGCTAAAATTTGATCTGCGCTTGCTGAAAGAATAAGAGCGTTTTTCTTTTTATCTGAAGTAGTTTTTGATAATTTTTGAAGAAACTCAAAATTATCCTTAACGTATGGGCTATAGTTATACGTGGGCATTTTTATTTATAGCATTTTTGAGCACTTATATATTACATAGGCAAATATATAGTAGTTTTTTCTCCAGGAAAAATTTTTGTGGATAATCGCATATTTTCATCTGTGCTAGGATGCATGTTTATCAATAAATAAGAAAAACGATCAGATGTCGCATCTCGATAAGCTTCAAGAAAATAATTAAGCATTTTTGGAAAAAGCTGTGAGCCGAGTGTCCGTACTTGCAGAAGGCCTTGAGGGTTTTTTGTTAACAGAATATAATGTGCATTTGCTCTTGCAGTCTTTATATCGCGTCCATATAGGGATTGAGTTACAAAAATCACACTTACTCCCCAATTGTGTGAACCGCGAGTAAAAAGTAAATCTAGAAAATCATTTGGAATATTAAGCATTAAGTCATCTAAAACTAAAAGCTGATGCTGCTTAATTAGTTCAGATTCGGGAACCCCGTTATAAGTAGTGATTCCCATTTCCTTGAGCTTGAAAACCGTTTCATTCATTTCTCCAAAACAGTATAATATTTTCAAAGGAGAAGGATCAATAAGTCGGTCAGTGTGCGCCAGGAATTTTAATAACCATTGAGTTTTGCCACTCCCTGTGGCACCCGAAATTATCATAGTAAAAGGAGCTATAAACATTTTTTATTTAACTATAAATTCTTTAAATTATTTATATAGGGCCTTAAAATGTATCAAAAAGCAATTATTCAAAACGTGGTATCTACAGCTACTCTACTTGAAGGTGACAACAAATTAGATCTTAATAAACTTGCAGCGAATATTCCTAATGCTAAATATCGTCCTGAGCGCTTTTCTGCTCTAACAGTTAAGATTAAAGAACCATTAACTGCTACAGCATTACTTTTTGCTAATGGAAGAATAGTATGCGTCGGAACAAAATCAGCAAGGGACTCGGAAACCGCTATTCACCATTTTGTTAAAATAATTTCCGCAGCAGCCGAGTTATTCATAAATATGCATAATTTTAGAATTCAGAATATTGTTTCTTCTTTTACATTTGGAGGATGCATAAATTTGCCAGGTATCTTAATTATTGTGTAAAAAATTAATTTTAGCCTTGTATGATTCGATGCGTTTCGCTCCGCCCTCATGGCTGGCTAGGCACATATCCTATAATCCTGAATTTTTTCCTGGGATGTGTCTAAGACTGAAGGAATCTCGCACAGTTATAATTATCTTCACAACCGGAAAATGCATTATTACCGGAGCACTATCAGAAGAAGAAATTTATTTAACACAAAATAAAGTTTATAATTCAATTTCAATGTTTTTGAAAAAATAAATTAAAAAATGCTTTTGTTAATTTCGGTTCGTAATTCCATCAATAATTCACCAAGTTTATTCTCACCCTCCCAAATACCTGGATCATTCAGACACGGGCTTTTATGGCTCAATCCATTACTCCAATGTAGATTTGATGCCGATGCATGTGTAATGAGTCCGTCTCCAGTTGCACGTAACTGATTGAAGAGTTGTACATTCTGAGTAAATTTGGCCCACAACCCTGTGTACATTACCTAGAATTCTTATTTAATGCTTTGCATAAAATTAATCCTTGCCTTGTCCTTGACAAAATCCCATTCATTTTTATTATAATTTTTCACACGGGTTCCAATTCGTCTTATAGCCAATGGATTAGTGAGCATAAGCACTTCAGCAGCGAGTTCCAAATCCACAAAAAATCTAGCTTTTTGCCAGATGTAATACTGTTCAGTGGAAGTGAACGTGCGTCCAAGCAAAGTAAATGTTGTATTAAAGCGGTTGTCGAATCCGCAATTAGGCGAATTGAAAATAAAAATATTTTGTTTTTGTGTGCCAATAATTTCTTCTGGTGGCAAAGAATTTTGTTCATGCTTCAAGTTAAGGCGTTCAAGCATAAGTGAAGTTGTTTCTTAAATAATTTTTTGTTAATTCTTAATATAAAATTTTATACCAAGATTTACGTCGCTGATCATAGTGTTTCTGAAAACTGAAAACATGCATTAATAATCAATATAGATAGAAATGTATAAAACATTTTTGTTAAAGTAAATTTCTAAAAAAATATTTATTCTAAGTATACGAATTAAAATTAATTTCCAGATTGTTTATCGATTTCAACAAAGTCCAAGCACTCGATTGGGTAAAAGTATTCATGCTTTCCACCACCCGAAACACACACAAGAGGAAGATGAGGATAAACAAGATTGACACGGTGTCGTACATAATAAAATTGACTTAAAATACAATATAATCTAATAAATAAAATACCGAATTGTTATGGATAAATATCCTCGTAAAGCAAACATTCGATCAGATCCCATTTCCGTAAAATTTTTAGGATACACTTCAATAAAACGATTTTTAAGATGATTTGTTATTAGACATCGCTTTCCAGGAGTTACACTGCTTTCATTAAATCCCTTTTGACCAACTCCGGCTTTCTTAACATCTTCAAGAGACATACTTGTTAGAGATTTTATAAATTGCAAATTTTCGTTGTAATTATTTCGTATTTCACAATTAAGCATTTCTGGTACGCATCCTCCATTGAAGTCACAGAGAAGGTTGATAAGCGGTGTAGTCTTTATGCTGTTGGAATTTATTGTTAATTTCTCTACCATCAATGTAGCGAGTTCTTAACGTGTAATTATTATTTAAATGGGAAAATAAATTTACCTAAATTGTCAGCCATTTTGATAAATAATCAACTATGTAATTACGTAAGCAATAAGTAAGCAAATCTGAAAGTAGATTTTAAATGCAAAATGAAAAAATATTTTTTGTATTAAACATTGATTTTAAAAATATATAATTAAAATTTATTCAAAATATTTTATTCGGTTGGATCAATAAGCGATTCGCCTCTGTATCCGTAAGGATAACAATCAAAATTAGCATCAACTATTCCTTTATCGTAGATTGGCGCATATCGTCTAAATTTTTAACTTGATAATATTTATAAATATATGATACCTTTTTTGTGATCTGCTTGTAACTTCCCCTCTACGCCAGCTTGGCTGAAAATGTGTTCTTTCCAAAATGACAGGTTCTTGTTCCTCCCCATAAGCTTCAACCATTTTCTAAATTATTCTTGAAATTTAGAAACGATCGAAAAATAACCTTGAATTGTTCAAAGTCAAGAGGAGAGTCAACCTTGTCCCAGCACCCCCGGCATTTTACAATGAATTTTATTTCACCACTATTTTTGTGCTTCATTTTCATGGCATACTTGAAAATATTTGTTTGATAAAAAATATTTGTATACCTGCTTGCATCCTCCAGTATAGAATGCAATAATGTTCCAATCCCCATACTCACGATCCATCATACCAAGCATCTCACCAACACGAAAAGGAGGCGTTTGTCCACGTCGGTGCAAATAAAAGCAGCTATCAGTGTCAGTATAAAGCAACTTGCAATCTTTTTCTTCTACTATTTTTTCCATATAGTCGTAAAGCATTATTCTGGCTGTTGCTGTTGTAATCAATGCTATTGCAATATTATATTTGTCATGTGGGCGTACAAATTCTCGTCGATGCCGATAAGGAACTGAGAAAAGATTTGGAGCAAGCATTTCTACGGCGCCTAGTTCAAGTTTTGGATCATTGAGAACGCTATGAAGTTCGACGGGAGAGCTCGTTATACAATCCTAAAAATTTTGAATGTCAAATTTATACGGAAAATACCTGAGATAAGTTACACCGCAGCGCCCATCGCCCCCACCTAAATTGAAAAATGATAACAATATTTTAATTATTCCCACATTGAATTGTTGCATGTCTTTGCAAGGTAACGCATGCCCTCGTTTCTTTCAATCCGAGTTGGATCTAAATGTATTCCATATTCACTCTGGTTTCGTTCAATAAATTCTTTTTTCCTTTGATCCTCGAGTTCAGGATTTCCAGGGACACATACACTATTTGGCCATCCACTCGCCTGTATTGGTTTTTTAAGTCATAAAATAATTTTTACTTCAATTTTTAGACGCATCATATCCTGAACATAAGGCCTCAACAAGGTGTCTGACCACTTTTCCCAATGATAAATGCTGTAAACTTTAGTAACGCGATATCCTTTCCTCAAAGCAAGCTCAAGTTCTACTGAGCAAGTAGTACTCACAAATCCTCGTTGTTCATCCGTGTGTGGACACCATTTGTGACCACTTTCTTTATTATATTTACTGTTTGCCCGTATTGCCACACCTGGAGATATTTCCACTGCACAACGATGGCAAAGATGAAATATCTGTTTATTTATAATATAAAATCAAAGAAAATTTTTACCAATTTTCCGTGAATTCGTTCTGGAATTACTGGAAGATACAAATCATCTGGAGGAATTATGAAAAGCTTGAACAGCCCTTTATATGGATGTAAATCTTCAGGTTCAGACCAATTTACATCCTTATTTAATTCCAAAACATTCGGGTGTCCTGGTATAAAAATTTCAAATTATAATTTTTTATTTTAAATACCAATAGGATAAAATGCATAAAAATTCACTGCGGGATAAAGACTTACAACATCAAAACAAGAAATCTCATAATCATTCTCAAATGTTCCTTCCAAATCACATTTTAGAGCTAAAGGGCCCGTTCTTCCTCCCTTAATTTAAAATTACATATAAATTTCACGTAATTCATACGTGAAAAGCATCTCTAGGATACAGTGGGCCAATATCTGGCAAGGTATCAAAAAACAGAGACATTTCTGGATCCTCTTCAAGTTGCTTCATAACTTCACATTCCCATACGGCAGTAGTCCAAATTCCCTCTTCATTCAATAAGCTAACACGTTCATAAAGTTTATCTTTGTTATATAGTGCCGTCTTCCCGTTTAAACAAACTTCATGTGGGCGGTATACAGTAGCGGAAATTTACTTAGGGAAAAATTTTTTCACGGTTTTTCAAGTCTTACTCAAAAATTTTTTTCTTCGGCCTTCTTTATTTTTGTGTATTATTGTAGCCCTATCAATTACCTATAAAATGGTTATAAACTTGTCCCGAGAAAACTTTCTATTTGACCAGGAAAATTTATAATATGTAACCTACTTTAAAACTGCGCGGAAATTTACTTAGGGAAAAAACGGAGTTTATTTTTTTGTGGAAAACCAATGTAGGAAAAATATGAAAAATTTCATATGCTCTTCCCTATCAATTTGTTGAAGAATAGAAAAAAATTCTAACTTCTAATTCACACCCATAATTGAGATTCCGAGATTCAAAATCAACGGAAATTGGGGTGATTTGGGGTTGATCTGATTTAAAAAATATTGGTGGCCATTCTTATCTATTTAATATTTTTCTTCCATGCCTATTTTAAAGCCCATAAAATTTAATACAAAATAGGCTTTATGCCATTTCTTTAAAAAATTTCTTCATCGAGATAAATACCGAAGAATTATAACCTGGTAAATTTACGCCTGATTTTACGCATTTTTCCCTAAAGTAAAAGGTTTCAGCGTGTATCTCGATGAAGAAAATTTTTAAGGAAATGGCAATAAACCCATTTTGTAGCAAATTTAATGGGCTTTAATCTCAACATTAAAGAAAAATTTTATCTGGGCTCGATGGACCGAAATATTTTTTTAAATCAGATCACCCACAATTCATCCCATTTTCGGTTGATTTTGGATATCAAAATCACACTGATGGGAGTGAGTTAGAAATCAATCAAATTTTTTTGCGATTCTCCATTACATTGTTAGGGAAGATCTCAGGAATTTTTTTAGATTTTCCTACATTTGTTTCCTATAGAAAATTAAACTACATTTTTTACCTAAGTAAATTTCCGCGCAATTTCTGGATAGGTTATCTATTATAAATTTTTTTAGTCAAATAGAAAGATTTACCTGGACATATTTAGTACCATTTAATAGGTATTAAATAAGGCTACAAAAATACACAAAAATAAATAAAGCCAAAAGAAAATTTTTTGAGTAAAACCTAAAAAATGTGTAGAGAAAATTTTTCCCTAAGTAATTTTCCGCCACTGTAAACTTAAAACGATTTATTTGAAGAAGTATTAAAGTTACCATTCATGTCCGTGCCATGCACAGCCCAAAAATTCAATAGCTTGGTCTACTCCTCCAATGTTTTTAATATACCCATCAAGACGCAAAATACTTCCATCAGAAACCTTGACTCTTTTTTCTCCTTCTGGACTTTCTTGATTTTGAACTTGAAGACCTGTCTTGTGTGAGAGCCATCGAAGAAATTTTAAAGCGATTGCTGATTGATTCAATCACGATGATAGCCATTGTCGGGAATAATACCCATTTGATTTTCTTTTAAATAGTTTATGCCTTAATATTTTTAAAACTTTTATTCTAAAATCATAAAAGCATACAAAAATGACGAATACATGCGCTGGCAATTGTCATAGAGTTAACAAGTACGTCGTCACGTTTTGAGGGTTTCGTAGCCAGTTCAAAAAAAGGCGTTGAAGTTTTACAAGTGCATGAGCAAGAATACGCACATCTTGTTCACAATATTCGACAATTTTTTCGCGAAGACAAAATGCTTCGTTTTTATTGTTGTTATACCATTCTTCAAAATTTTTTCTTCTCTCCTTTCCCATCGAATCTGGGTAATAATATTGCTGATCAGGTAATCCATTAAGGCATATATTCATATTCTTATTAAAATTCCATCCGTGAGGGAAAAATGCCTTGCCTCCTTCGTCAATTTCTAGAGCTAGTCTTCTTTGCAGTAGAAAATTTAAACTGTTAGATAAAATAATTTTACAAATTTAATATAGGAGAGGGAGAGGGTATAAGGATATAATTAAATTAAAGAGTGGAATGTTTCGAGAAGTGGGTTAAGGCTATTATTAAATGTTGCATGGGAAAGCAGAATGATTTTTAGGCGGTTTTGGACCTACTTTTATATGGATACTGACAGCCCAAACTTTGGCCTTGAATGATTAATTACCCGCTCTTATTCACATTATTTGTTTATAATAGTATATCTGTTACTAAATTAAGCACAAGTTTTCGCAATTAATCAGCATTTGGATACGATGATTCACTTTAATTTGCACAATTTTTATAAACATAAGTCACAACTTTGTGCAAAAATACATTAATCACTCAATGTACTTTGCTCAATCAGATAAATATTATTGAAAGATGGCCACAAATTTTCTTATATAAACACTCGGCCTTTTTTAAAATTATTCATTTGTCAATTTCCTAAATGCCCTAAATCTTTATTATTATTTTATTATAATATTTATTGCTTTATTTTTAATATTTTTTAAGTTTTATTAGGGTTTGGCATTATATTTTTAAATTTTGGCGTTATGTATTTTTACCTAATTTGACATTTGTCGTTTTTTTAATTTGAAAATTTGGCGTTTGGCGTGTTTTACATTTGAAAAAATTTAGGAAAAACATAGGAAAAGATTTAGGAATTTATTTAAAATTTAGGAAAACACATGCGAAAAATACATGGCCATGGTTCATTTGCTTTTGAAATGTATGCATATAGTATTAATAATTTTTTAAATCTTCTGTTTGATTTTGTAAATAATTTTTGTTGTACATTTTTGAAAATTTAAAGTTCCAAATGATGAATGAATTATCAAAATTCCCTTTTTTTGTTTCATCCGTTACATTAAATATTTGGAGTTTTTTAAATTAAACAATTCCTATTTTTATATTTAAACTTGCTAATGTCTTGCAACGTTACCACATTCCGTTAAATGTTAAATTTAATTCTATATATGGCCAACAACGTAATGAACCACAATTTCTTTTTGAATTTAAAGAAGAATTAGAATAACAATTTAAATGTGAAATTAACTTTAAAAAATAATTAAATAATTTATTTATTAAAAACTTTTTGTCTCTTCTTTTCTTTTTTGACACTCAAAATCACACATATTAAATTGAACATGAAAACCGCCCCGAAAAAAATATATTTATTTTTAATTTTAATATTAATTTATTTATCCAATTAGACAATTATCATGTTCTAAATTTAAATTACAAAATAATTGTAAATCTAATTTGTCAATAACTGCAGGGATTCCAACACTTCCTGATGAATGAGTCTTAAAAATTTTAATATATTGAAATTATTCTCAATAATTTTTAACAGCATAAAATATTATTGGGCCTTGAACTGAAACTTTTAAATATAAATTTATGGATCCAAAATCCTCTAACCATAATTCATAAAAGATAGTGTTTTTAAAAGGATCAGCCCGTAACCAGGCTATCTATAATATATTTATAGATAAACTAACGTATATAGTTATTTTCTTCTTCGTAAATAGCAATTTTCTTCATCATCTATTTTTCTTTCATTT